TTTGCTGTTGCACCAGGGGCCATCTGGAAGGCTGGAGGACTCTGCTTCCACTGGACTGGGGGGAGGAGGGGGGAGTGACAGTGCCTTCCACTTCTGCAGTGGGGACCTGGCTGTGGGGTCCTCCCAGATGGATCTTTCTCCCACTCCCCAGAAGGGCTTGACTGCACTGTACTGGGGATTTATTTGTCCAAATCATAACATTTGTTGAGAACTTATTTTGTGTGGGGCCCTGAGTAGACCTGGGGTGGACAGCCAATAAACAAACACACAGCTAGTGCTATTTCAGAGAGAGGCCAAGTGCTGTAAAGAAAACACAGTGTGGCCCTAGCCAGCTTGGCTCAGTGGTTAGAGTGTTGGTCTGTGGACTGAAGGGTCCCAGGTTCGATTTTGGTCAAGGGCATGTACCTTGGTTGCAGGCTCCATTCCCAGACCTGGTCGGGGTGCGTGTGCGAGTCAACCAATTAATGTGTCTCTCTCACTTTCTCTGAAAAGCAATGGAAAAAATATCCTGGAGTGAGGAGTAAGGGGGAAAAAAAAGAAAAGAAAAGAAAACACAGTGTGGGCTAGCCGTGCAAGACGGCTTAGGAGGGCTGCTGCTCTGAGGAAGTGGCCAGAATGGTGAGACAATGCTGGGAGAAGAGCAAGCCTTGAGGTAGGCATACTTTTGGAGAACAAGATGAAAGCCAAGGGCTGGAGAGTGGAAGGGAATGAGGCAGAGCAGTAGGCAGGGTTCAGATCAGGTTGGGCCTTGAAGGCAAGGGACGGGGCCAGGGCTCTTCTTTCTCCTGGGGGCTCCTGGCTGGGCTGCTGGCAGTTTACTAGGAGTGGCCTCTCTAGGACAGTGTCCACCAAGGCTGGAGGATAAGGGGGTTTAAAAGCTCAACAGCCTGCTAGGGATTGGAAGCACTCAAGGGTGTTACAACAACTATGAAGAAGTATAGCCTCTCCTCAGGGCTTTCTGATTTCCCCAGGTTTCCCACCTAGTAGCTCTGGAGAGGTTTGGTCAATCCCATTGCACAGATGAGAGATAAGAAAGCTGAGGTCCAGAGAGGGGAAGGCCCTGTCCAGGGGCTCACAGCAGGTCCAGCACTGCATGACCTGGGCCTAGTTGGCATCTTGCCCCACAGTCTGGCCAAAGACAGAGAGAGAGAAGTGGAGGCCCAAGCAGTGGGTGGGAACATGGCTTCTGGAAGGTTAATAACATCAGGAGAGTCCTTCCCAGGTGGAAGAAACTGTCCCAGGTTCTCTGGTCCTGGCAGGCCTGCGGTTGCCCCAGAGCACTCAGCATCCCAGGACCACTTCCTCTGAGAATCCCCTTCCCCTTTCCTCTGGTCTGGGCTCCACCCCTTCCTTCCCTGTCTTTACTATCCTTCCCACATCCATGTTTCCAGAGCCTGCAGACTCCACTGTCCCTTCAGGGCTTCTGCCCCCAAGGCCAGGAGCCCACTCCTGGTGAGGGGAGGAGAATGTGGGGCGGTAACGTAACTCTTTCGTGCCTCTCCTTTCCTCCTCTGTACAATGGAGACAATAGTAATTCCCTTTCTCTTAGAGGCTGGCATGATGGTTAAGTGTGTTACCAAATGTAAAGCACTTGGCCCTGTATCTGCACATAATGTTCAGAGTTGTTTTACTTTTTTAATCATTGCTTCAGTTAGTTATTTTATAAGCTTTTACACAGAGTGGCAGTTCTGGGATGTCCGACAGCCTCCTAACTCAGAGCAGTGGCGTCACCTGGTATTGTTAGAAATGTGGATTGTCAACCCCGCCCCAGGCCTGCTGGATCTGAACAGCACTCAAGTCTGAGAAGCACAGCTTCTCATCTGTAGGCAGAGAAGCTGAGGTCTGGAGGGGGGCACCTGGCAAGTTGCTGATTTGGGGCCTGGGCTCTGGAGACAGCCTGGGTTGTGGGCCCTGTAGGTGGCTGCCTATCTTTGAGCTTTGTACAGTGAGGATAATGAAAGTATTTCTCGAGGAGGTGGGAGGGCTCAGGGAGTGTTCTCTGCTGTTATTGCAGAATTAGCAGGGGAATTGGAGGGAAGGAGTTGACACTCTCATTCTTCATCTCAGACCCTATGCACTTGGGGCTTCGCAAGGGGTCCTTGGACCTGTGACCAAAATCCTTCTCTCCACGTCCCCCAGCCTCTCTGAGAAGAAGAGCAGCAGCTAGCTTTGTGTGTGTGACCTTTTATACACATTTACTTCTCTGGTCTTATTTGGTCCTTACAGCAACATCATTAGGTAGGTGTTATTGTCCCTGTGACACCCAGAGAGGGGAAATGACTCACCCAAGGTCATGCAGCAAGTACATGGCAGAGCCAGAAGTGCAAACCAGGTTTGCTCAACTCTGTAACTTGTGTAGCTTGAAAATTTTCAGTGGTAAATTAGAGAAATTAGATTCAAACTGGCCAAAGCAGAAAAGGGAATTTTGGGGTTTTATAACCGAAAAGTCCAGGGGGAGTAACTAGCTTCAGGCATGGCTGGGTCCAGGGGCTCACATGAGGATCTATCTCCAGGATCTATTTCTCCCTGTCTCTCAGCTATACATTCCTCTGTAGTGGCTTTATTCTTACGTGGGTCTCCATATATGGGGTCAAAGTAATACAGGTCTAGCTCACTGCTCTCAGCAGAAAATATTTCTTTCCTAGTAATTATAGCAAAATACTCAGGGCTGGTTTTCATTGGTCAGGACAGTGGAGTCCTGATTGGTCAGGCTTAGATCACAAGCACATTCCCTCGAGTTGTGGAGGAGTAGAATCAGCTGTACCTAAATCTCATAGACAGAGACTGAGGGAGCTGAGTTTCCCCCTCAGGAATATGGAGTGCTGGCTCACAGTAAGTGCTCAGTACTGCCTGCTGCGTGGGTGGGTGCAAGAATGCATGAATGAAGGGAAGGGTGGGCTTCTTTGGCTACCTTTCCCATTAGAGGAGAACAGGAAGGAGCCAACTTCTTTTTTTTTGGATCTATTATGTGTCAGGCATATGTTCTCTTTAATATTCCTCACTGTTGATATGTCCTCAAGTTGCAGGTAGTCACGTGATCCCAGAGCCAGTCAGTGGCCTGTTGGAGAGAGGGATGGAGGGGCCTGAGCCCAAGGTCTCAGCATAACCCTTCAGAGTCGTCTCCCTTTAAGCCAGAGGCAGCGCTCACGTTTCATGGCTGTGAGAAATAGTGAGGATGTCCCTGCATCCCCTCTAACCCTTTCTTCAGCCTGCTGTTGTTCAGGAATATTGTTAGTGCCAGATAAGCATGGGTTCCTGTTGCAATGCTGCAAATTCTTCTTTCCAACAGGTGTCTAGAGTCCTGGGCTGCTCCTTGCTGAGTGGGACACTATGCTCTTGGAGTATAAAAGAACATCTCAATTTTTAAGATTAAGTGTAACCCATACAGGTGCCCAAAGCATAGGTCCATGGCTCAATGAATTGTGACACAGTGAGCACTCCTGTGCACCCACTACCCAGATCAAGTACAATGGTTCCTCGGTTTTCCAATGTGATCCGCTCCAGAAGACCGTTCAGTTCTGAAACGTCCAAAAACTGAGGGATCCACAGCCAACAGCTAGGCCTCAGGACCTTGCCCTCAGCAGAAGCCATGTGGCACGTTCGACTTCCGAGGCATGTCGGAAACCAAAGCATTTCCTTCCAGGTTTACAGCGTTTGTAACCTGAAATGTTCATCCACGGAGATGTTGGAAAACTGAGGCACCACTGTACCTAGAAGCTGGTGTGCCTCCCTCCACCCCTCTGCCCTCCACCCTCCACCCTCACAGAGGTGACCCTCACTCAGCTCCCTGCATGGGGTCAAGCCGCACCTCTGCTCCTGTGTGTGGCTCTGTCAGCATTCCTGCCTGTGAGGCCCTTTCGTGTTGCTGCCTGAAGCAGTCACTCATTCTTTTTATTTCTGCGCAGTGTTCCAGTGTCGTTCATGTGAGCACTGCCATTCTCACGTGCATTCTCATTTGGGCTGCCCCCAGCCTGGGGCCATTATGAACATACCTGGAAGTGGAGACATGCGTCATAGTTCTGTTCAAGTTATCATTTTAAACGCTGGCATCTGTTACATTCTGGTGATCAGGCCACACCTGGCTCACCTGTCCTGAGCCCCCGAGCTCCCTGTGGAAGTCCCTGCCACTGTCAATGCAGGCCCAGCTCTACTGCTACTCTCTCTGAGTCCTGTGACCTGCAAGAGTGCCTCGGTTGTTCAGGGTGGCTCCAGGACCCTAAACCACCAGGCCTCCTATCTTCAGGCTGGACTCTAATCTCCCATTCTTAGATCATCATGTGGGTGCTTGACTGCCCCCTCCACCCCGTCTCACTGCTTCAGCAGCTCCCTCTACCTCCTTCCACAGCACCTCCTCTTTTCTCACCCTCTCTACTTAGAGACCTCCGTGCTTCTACTAGGGATGGTGCAGTGTCCCCTCTAGTTGTGTCTGCCTTTCCAGGGTGGGAGCAGAGGGAGACAAGGGCTTGAGGGCCACCTGAGGTGTGCATGATCCCATACTCTGGCACTTGGCAGCTGTGGCTGCATTCAGCCTCCAGGTGGGTTCTGCAGGATGTGGAGAGTTGGAGCCAAAGTTCAGCTACTGAGAATTTCATGTGTGTTGGCTATTGGAGGCATCCAACATCATTTATCTAGTACTCACTGCAGCCTCGCAGGATGGACACTTGTTACCCCCATTCCAGGGACAGGGGAAAACAGGCACAGAGAGGACAAGGAAGTAAGGAACAGGCTAGGACATGACCCCTGTCTCTCCCCAGCCCCCCAGGACTGGAGGGACTAACCGAGGTGATGCCAAATAGCATGTATTGCTTTGCCTGGCACAGAGGCAGGCTCAAGCATTGGGGGCCTTTTATTGTTTGGGGTTCATGAGATAGAGCCTGAGACAAGGGACTGGGCCCCTGTGTGGGGGTTGGTTTGGGACATGTGCGGGAGCACCACACCTCACCTCCTGCCTGGTGTGATGGGGAACAAGCAGCAGGCTCACTGTGGGCAGCCGCTCTTGTATTCCATTGGGTGCCTGAGACCCAGAGGCCCAGGGCTACACAACCTCTGTGCTGCTTAACGTGGTGGTTCTCACTCCCCCAGACAGGGTTCTGGCAGGATGGAAACCCTGCAGGAGGTGATTTGGGCCAACAGGAGCACAGTGCTGTCCCCACCCCTGGCTCCCAACATCAGTGTGCCACATCGCTGCCTGCTGCTGCTCTACGAGGACATTGGCACCTCTAGGTAAGGCAGTCACAGTCTTGTTTGCCTGGCTGGCTATGTGTGAGTGGGTTTTCATGGTGTGTGTGTGTGTGTGTGTGTGTGTGTGAGAGAGAGAGAGAGAGAGAGAGAGAGAGAGAGAGAGAGAGAGAGAAGAGAGAGAGACACACACAGTGATGGGGGTGGAATGCAGATATAACCTCACTAGTGAGCTGGTTTTTATACTTGTCTGCTAGGGTCCGGTACTGGGACCTCTTGCTCCTCATCCCCAATGTGCTCTTCTTCATTTTCCTGCTGTGGAAGCTTCCATTTGCTCGGGCCAAGATCTGCATCACCTCCAGCCCCATTTTTATCACCTTCTATATCCTGGTGAGTTCATTCTAATCGGTGACAGAAAACCCAGCTCCAACTGGCTTAAGCAAAGAAGGGAATTATTAACTGCCTCTTTAATGAAAAATCAGCTTCAGGTATGGCTGGATCCCGGGGATTAAGTGATGTCATCAGGACTCTGTCTCTCTCTGCACCTCTGCTCCCCTCTGGCCTTATCTCAGATGAGTTCTCCCTATATAGTGTGAAAGATAGCCAAGAGCAGCTTAGAGCTAATATCCTGCCTCCCTGCCAACTCTAGCAAATAGTACCTCCAGTGTAGACCTGGACTTCCTTCTGATTGGCTCACCTTGATTTTGTGTTCAGCCCTGAGCCGATTACTGTGACTAGTGGGGAAAGGGGTACTTTGGAGCTGGGAAGGTGGGGTCACCTCAGCTAGACCAGAGGAGGATGGTGGTCCTGGAAGAAAATTGGGGAACCATTACTAGAGGGAAGATGAATGGATGCTGAGTGGGGGAAAAATAGCCACTGAGCCTCCATCCATCCATCTGTCCATCCATCCATCCATCCATCTGAGACCTCTTTGGAGCAGACTTCCTGCCTGTTGGGAGAGCCTGTATTCTCCTTACTCAATGGTCTTGGTGGGTGTTGCCAGGGGAGAGGTAGCAGGGCTGCAGTTGAGAAGGCAGCCCCAGGTGCCAGTCCCAGATGTGGGCTGTCCAGCTCCATTTCTTCAGGGCTCAGGCCTGACTAACCAGAGTCCTCTCCTTTCTATGCCTCTTAGCTATCACTACCTGAGAGCTGAGTGGCTCCCTCACCTCCCCTTTGTGGCCTGGGCCAGAGCTTCCCAGTCAGAAGAATGAGTTGCGGGAATGCAGAGAGGCAGGGGAGACTGTTGGTGGGCCTGCTGACTAGACCCCACCCCTGTGAGGTGGTGTTGAGTAGGGATGGGGTTCAAGGCCTGCTTTCTTCTTTACCCTCTCCCGCAGCCTCTCTGACCATTACTTGTTTGTGTATTTATTCAGCAGATATTAATCACCTACTGTATGTCAGGCAGATGTTTTTTCCGGGGGAGTGGGCAGGGAAAAGGAACCCAGGGCCAGTGCCCAGGAACGTGAGGCAAGGCCAGAGGAGTCAGCACTGGCCCTACCCTCTTCTTCCTGGGGACTTGGTCCTGGAGAGGAGGCAGTGGTAAGAGTGCACTTAGGCAGACCACCTCCAAGCCCCAGCTGTGCAGAATGACCTTGGGACAGTGGCTTGACCTCTCTGTGCCTCAGTGCCCTACCAGGTGATGTGTGTTGGATTTGATTTAGCTTTCAGCACTCCTGTGAGCACCAAATGACAGCGTGCATAGCTCCTGCCCAGTGGGGCTTCGCATACAGTAGGCACATGGCAGTTTGTTGCTTCTGCAGCCTGCCCTGCTGAGTGGTATAGGCCTCCCCAAGGCTTGGGCATGGCTTTCATGGCACAAAGGACAGAGTATGAATGTGGGCTCTTTTGTTTTTATGTGTTAGAAAACCAAACTTAAACCCACAGAAGCCAAAAGGAATATATTGACTGAGAAACTGACAAGTCCCAGGGCTTTGGGCATGGCTGGATTCAGAGGTTCAGTGATGCTGTCCAGCACTGTCTCTATCTCCTTCTCAGCTTGGTGTCTTTCTGATGTCCCTGTCTCTAGCAGCCTCCACCCTTATGGCAGCCAGGCAGCTCCAGCAGCTCTGGGCTTTCACCCCCTCAGCTTCCTTTCTCATTGATTGCACCTCTTGTCCTGGCTATGACTTTCACTCAACTCCCTTGGGTCCCACCCCTATCCCAAACTGGTGGAATGGCATACAAGAATGGACAGCCCTAGGTCACAGGCCAGTCCCTGAAGCCAGGAGTGGGGTCAGCCTCTACTCCCAAACCATGTGAAGGAGGAGGGTAGGAGAGGAACGAGGCTGTTGCCAGAGGAAGGGGGTGGATACTAGACTGATGAAAGCCACAGATGCTGAGCACAGGCACTTCTGCCAAACTTACTCCTGTAGCACCTTCCCTAGGGTCTGTGATGCCTCTTCTCTGTGGCCTCCTTTCCCAGCCCCCATATCTCAGAATTAAAACCATTAATATGACAAGACTAACTGCAGATGTGGCCCTAGCTCTTACTGGATACCAGGCACACTTCTACATTTTTTTACCCACTTGATCCCCTGGCGATCAGATGCAGTAGGTGCTATTATTACTTCTATTTCATAGATGAGTAAACTGAAGCATGGAGGTGCGGTTACTTGCCTGAGGTCACAGAGGCAGGAAGCAGCAGAGCTGGGACTTGAACCTAGGCAGTCTGGCTTTACCATGTCACCCTACTAACCATTCCATAGCCATCAGTGTATCTGGGACAATGAGGCCCAAGATGGGAGGACCAGGCTGGTGGAGGGTGGTCTCCCCATCTCCTGACTTGTTTAGTTTGGAATCCTTCCATTCTTGGGGAATCAGAACTACTGCAGATGTGGGGTGTGGGTTTGTTGTCCTTGCTATTCCCAGATCTGGTTCTCCGACTCCACCACACCTCCCTCTCACCTACCAGGTGTTCGTGGTAGCGCTGGTGGGCATTGCCCGGGCTGTGGTCAGCATGACCGTCAGCACTTCGGATGCTGCAACTGTTGCTGATAAGGTGTGGCTGGGCCTGCCGGCAAGGGGGTGCTGGGCACTGGGGAGAGGGGTGACTGGGCCCCCAGGCTGACACTCTGCCCACTCTGTGTCCAGATCCTGTGGGAGATTACCCGCTTCTTCCTGTTGGCCATCGAGCTGAGTGTGGTTATCCTGGGCCTTGCCTTTGGTGCGTCTGCTGCTGGGGCCAATGCTCTCCCTGCCCCTCCCTGGCTGGTGGCCAATCCCACCACGGTCATCTGGGCTGGCTCCTGCTGACTGACCAGCACCTTTCTTCCAGGTCACCTGGAGAGCAAATCAAGCATCAAGCGAGTGCTGGCTATCACCACCGTGCTGTCCCTGGCCTACTCTGTCACCCAGGTAAGAGGGAGTAGGTGGGACAGAGCAGCCCTGGGGGCTCCCTGGAGGAGGTTTGTAGTCAGTGAGTGCCAGGCATCCACTGCCTCCTGGTCCTGGATCAGGGTTTGAATGTTTATCAGGTGCAATGTTCTCAAACTTCAAGTGCATCTAAGGAATCACCAGGTGTACTTGTTAACAAGGCAGGTTCTGGGGACCCCTCCCAGATTCCCATCTAATACATTGGGGTGGAGGAGGGGAGGATGCCCATCACTTGCAGTTTTAACAAGCAGCCCAGGTAGGAGACTGTAGATCGGCAGACCACACTGAGCCCTGCATCCACAGACCTCTTTCTTAGTTTGGGTCAGGGACTGCCCCTTGCACAGCTCTGTCCCTGTTCCGGGTGCTGCAGCTAGATGGGCAGGGTATGGCCAGAGAGCAAGCTGGAGCAGGAACCTCTGGGGGCCAGGCTGGGGCTGGGCTTGGTGTGGTGGGAGCTTCTGGGACTCTGTATTAGGGAAGGGCCCAGGGAGGGGGCTTTCCAAGTGGCAGAAGACTGTGATGCCCTCACCTGCCTGCCCCTGCAGGGGACGCTGGAGATCCTGTACCCTGATGCCCACCTCTCAGCTGAGGACTTCAACATATATGGGCACGGAGGCCGCCATTTCTGGCTGGTCAGCTCCTGCTTCTTCTTCCTGGTGAGGCATAGGGTGGACCCTGGTCCTAGGGGTCCGGGGGTGGCCGGGTGAGCCAGAGCCTGGACACATTGGTTTACCTGGCCTAGCTCTGGACCTGGTGCTCCCCAGCACCCTTCTCAGCCCCCTTTCCGTCTCTGCAGGTGTACTCTCTGGTGGTGGTGCTTCCCAAGACCCCTCTGAAGGATCGCATCTCCCTGCCTTGTGAGCCACTCTAGGACTCTGTTGGGTGCAGGGGCTGGGGTGAGGGGATAGGGAGAGTCTGGGCCACTGCGGCCTGGAGCTGGAGAGCCCTGGGTCGGAGGGAGGGAAGGAGGGTTCCTTGGGGGACTGAGGGGTCCCAGTAACACATTGGGGATGATGTGTGGAGGAGAGGGCAGGACCTCACGCCCCCCCCTCCCAGCGCGGAGGAGCTTCTATGTGTATGCAGGTATCCTGGCGCTGCTCAACCTGCTGCAGGGGCTGGGAAGCGCGCTGCTCTGCGCTGACATCATCGAGGGGCTCTGGTATGGAGGCTGGGGGAGCTGGGAAGGGGAGTTTGGGGCGGTCCCACCCAATGAGGCCTGCTCTGACCCACCCTCCTCCCCCAGCTGTGTGGACGCCACCACATTCCTCTACTTCAGCTTCTTTGCGCCCCTCATCTACGTGGCCTTCCTCCGGGGCTTTTTCGGGTGAGTCCAACCATAGGGGCCCAGGAAGGGAGACCATAGTGTGCTGGAGGTCTTGGCAGAGCTCCCAGCTTTCCAGCCGGCTGCCCGGGATTGGAGGGCTCCGTGCGCCCCCGCTTGGCTGCTGGCGGAACCGCGCGTTCTGCTTCCTGCGTGTGTGCACCTGCGTGGTACAGCTAAGAGCCCCCTTGCTCCGGATGCAGGCTAAGATAGTACACATACACAAACGCACATGAAACACTTATACACATACATATATACACTCACATATGTACACATGTGTACATATACATACACACATATATACATGCATATATACACATGTCTATTATATATGCAACAAACGGGCATATACACTTCACAAGAGAGACAGTGGCTATGCACATTGTTCTGCACTTGCTGTTTTTTATTTCAGAATAGATTATTAGTTCATTCCTTCAGCACATATTCACTGTGCCATGCGCTGCTGTAGCTGCAGATACAACTAGGAACAAAGTATGCACAAATTCCCATGCTCACCGAGCTGATATTCTAGCTGGGGGTGACTGGGCAGGGGAGCCCGGTTGGGGGAATCCAGTGTGTATTTGAGCATGGGGTGGGGTGCACTTTTGTGTACATGTGTGTTTGGGGGTGTGTTAGGGAGATGGGATGCTAAAGACATGTGGGATTGAGGGTTGGACCCCAGGCGTCTGAGGTGGTAGGAGCTCAGGCATTTTTCCCCAACCCCATCTTCCTCACCTGTCAGGTCTGAGGGTGGGTGGGGGAGCCTTCCTCCTGAATGAAAAAGCTGGGAGAGTGCTTTAGAGATGAAGCGAGAAGGACTAGATTGATTCCAGCCTAGCTCTGATCTGGCCTCAGGTTCCTGTTTGAAAATTCTTTCTCCCTCAGAAAGTGATCCTGAGGATTGAGGGATTGGGTGAGCTCAGAGTGCAGGGGTGAAGGTCATGACCAATTCTTGCTAAGCATGTTGAGCCAGGTACCGTTTCAGGTTTTTCACCCTATACAAAGAGCCTCTGAGGTTGGGGTTGTTGCACTTATTTTGGGTGAGAAAGCAGACACAGACCCTCTTGCCCAAGTGCACACAGCCAGGAGGAGGAGGCTGGGTTTTAGTCCTGTTGGATTCTATAGTCTAAGTGATAGGGACCTCAGGTTTGGTGTCAGGCAGCTGTAAGAGCATTTCCTCCTGATCTGATGGCCTTATTGCCCAATGAAGGAGGGTCTTCCTCGACTCAGACAGTGGGGCTTCCCTGCCCTCTATCTTCCCTACCAGCTCGGAGCCTAAGATCCTTTTCTCCTACAAATGCCAAGTGGATGAGACTGAGGAACCGGACATGCATCTGCCCCATCCCTATGCTGTAACCCGGCGGGAGGGCCCAGAGGCAGCAGGTGCTGCCAGCACACAGTTCGACTCTGCCGGCGGGGTGTCCTACCTGGATGACATTGCTTCCATGCCCTGCCACACTGGCAGCATCAACAGCACAGACAGCGAGCGCTGGAAGGCTCTCAATGCCTGATTGCAGCTGCCTGGCTGGAAAGAGTGCTGGGGCCCATGGAGGGCGGGTCAGAGAGAAGGCCAGATAGCGCAGAGTCCCTGGAGAAGGAGGACAAGGTCACGGGACCTTGTGTGGGCAGCAGCGCTATGCAGGCTCTATCCTTCCCTCTGGGCCTCAAGTTGCCCTCAGCCATCTCTGCTCTAGCTGCCCTTCCCTCTTCCATCTGCCCTTGACCTGCTCTGCAACATGCCCAGATTATGATCCCTTAAGGCCAGGATTGGCTATGCTGGCCAAGGGCACTTTTTTTCTCCAAAGGAGAAAGCCTGGGGACCCAGGACTGGTCTGGCCCCTGCCCCCTCCCTTCAGCACTTTGGCCTTCTCAAAGCTCACTCTGGCAGGTGGGCTGAAGTGTGTATATTTTCTTGATCTATTTTTTAATAAAAAGGAAAAGGAACCGAAGGTGTCGCTGTGGAGATTCTGTAGGAATACTGGGACTGGTTCCTTTCAGGAGCGCAAGGGCTGGGGTATTCAGAGGTCCTGGCAGGTCCTTCTGCATCCTGAGCCCAGGGATGCTCAACCAAGAATTACTGGCCAGTGCACATGCCCTGCTGGCTGCTGGGAGGTGGAGAGAAATCTGACCCTCGCCATCCCTGACTGAGTGGAGGAGACAAACGTGAAAAAAAGTTGTGATTTCTGTGGGCTGTCTTTCCAGTCTGTTGAAGTGTGTGGGGGTTGGAATAAGCCCTTTGGGCCCTGTCCTTTCTCTGCTCCTGCTCTGTTGGCTTGAGCCAGCTACTCTCCTGCAGCTCCAGTTTTACCCTCTGTAAAAGGGGATAAGAAGGCCTGTCTTGCATGTATTTATGTAAGGACTAGAAAATAGTAAGTGTGAATGACTGGCACTTGGGAATGGAACAATAATGAGAGCGTATTATTTTTAGCCTCTAGAACAGTGCTTGGCACACAGTAGGCACTCAGAATACAAGATGGTGGGGAATGATATTCATAATAAGAATGGATACGATGAGGTGAAAATGGGGAAAGTCAGAGTAAAACACTGAGATGGGAAAATGGAAATAAGAGGTAGGATCCACATGTCCATATTGCTGCTGATACAGCTAACTTTGGTTTTGAGTCATTTGGCAGCCAGAGGAAAAGGCCAAGCTCATAACTCAAACACCCTAGCCCTCTCCCTTTCAGCCTCACCTCCACCGTGTGACCTTGGGGAGGAACTGATGCATTGTGGTGGCACAGGCTTGGTTTTGGAGATGGGGCCTGTGAAGTTGAGGGAACACTGACATCCATGGCTACCACTGGAGCGTCTCCAGTACCCTCTACTGAGCTACCTCCTAGAAAGCCAACATAGGAAGCATTGTCCCTCCCCTGATAAGGTGTTACTGACAAGCTGCCTGTACTTTGCAGTCCCAGGTCCTGAGCCCAGGAAGGGCAGACATGCTTTCTCCTAGGGATGAGGGGAGTTGCCCCTCAGAGCAGCTAGCTTCCTGGGCCTGTCTCCAACAACACTCAGGTTGCCTATACTTGCCACCTGGCTGTCCAGCACCGTGTCACCAGGCCTGTGGCAGATGGGCTGCTTGAGAGAACTCCTGCTCCCACTTCTTCCTGCAGAACAAGTCTGCCCTTCTGCCTCCTTAGGGCAGGAGGTCATGAGGAAACAGCCAGCCCAGAGAAGGAGCAGCTGAACCATCAGAAAAGGAGGTTTAGCCTCAGCATTGTGTACCCTGATTCTCAAAACTGGGTTTGTGGAGGAGCAAGGGGTCAGAGATACCCACTTGGTCCTAAACCCCAGTGAGCAGAGTGGCCTGGAGCAGAGGGGTGGTCTGACTGAGTCAGAGACTAGACCCACATTCGCCAGAACTACAAACGCCGAGTGAGACCTAAAGGATGTAGGTCCTGAGTACCCTGTGTCCCTGGGGATCTGTACATGGGCTCTGCCCTCAGACGCAGTCCCAGCAGCACAGGGGCAAGGTAGGCCCTTCTAGGTTTCATGGGGTTGCTGTGACTCAGAGGGCCAGTCTCCTATTAGAGCCAGTTACCCTTGTTCATACCCATGGGCCATCCGACAGAAACAGTTCTGCCAGTCCCCATAAGTACCCTGTGAGATAGGTACTCTTTGCTGATTTCATTTTACAAAGGAGGACTCCAGGGCTCAAAGATGTGCAATTATTGTCTCATGGGAAGTGGAACTGGGAGGTGGGCCCAGCGGAGAGTGGGTTGCCACACTGCACTCCAGCAGCACCAGGTGTGGAAGGTGTGAACCAGAGCAGGAGAGGAAGTCAGGGCCATCCGGCTGGGCCCTGTGCTGGAATTCAAGGCTGTTGGTTATCCTGGGAGATAATGACAATTGTTTGTTATCCAGGGGGCTGTGGTCATTGTAGTTCTAAACACTCCATGTTGGTTTCACAGTTTCACTCTATTAAGACACACACTATGCCTCTAACTACTGTACCTGACTGCTAAGACTCACAGAAACACTTCCTGCATAGAAAGGGCTCCAAGCCTTGCCTCTGGGGCCACTGGACCAAGGTGAGGAAACTGCAGCCACTCCACAGCCAGTCTGGGGGGTGCAGAAAACACCCCCAAAGGATTGCCAAGGCAGGGACAGAGAACTTCCTGGCATTTAGGGCAGAGTGGGATCCAGAATAGACACTGTTTGGGCATGGGGCAGACAACCCGGTTCCCAGTCCTAGCTCTGTCTTTCCCTCATGTGTGACTTTGGCAGGACCTCTCCCTCTCTGTGCTTTGGTTTCCCCACTTGTAATGTGGCACTGATCAGGCCTCCTAGGCCTCTGTGAAACCCCTTATCCCCATGCTGTGCAAAGCCTGGCAAAGAGCTTCTTCATCTGGGGTCTGCCTACCCTCTGTTTCTAAGCAGGACCTTGGCAGGGGTTGGGATGGGGAGCATTGGGGCTGCTGATGAGAGAGCTCCTGTAATTGGCCGTGTACATTAGGAGGCACCTGCTGGCCTCGAGCGTGGCTAGTGTTTTATTTCTCATATTGTTTGGAGCTGGTGACTCAGCTGAATACATCCAGCAAATCAAGACTCAATCACCTGCTGTGAAGAATGTTTGAAGCTGCTCCAGTCAGGTTCTTGTTAGGGGCTCTGGGACGCCCTGGGATGCAAAATCAGTTCTGCTCTGCTGGGCTGAAGGGCATTCTGGGGAAGACAGGCCTGATTCCAGGTGGAAAATCTGAGGGCCACCCAGAGGGGATGGGCCTTCCTTTTGGGCTGGGCCCTCACACCATGGCCTGCCCCTGGGGTTTGTGTGGGGTGACTGCACTCTCTTGTAGCCCCAGGCAGCCCCCTAGCCCAGAAGGTGGCCTTCTGGAAGGCTCCTGCTCTTCCCCTCACATTCTAATTTCAAACACTGACTCTCATCATCCTCATAAGCACAGGTGGCCATGGACTTGCTTAAAATTTTTCTTTAACTAGTTGTCAGAATTTAAATATTAGATTTCACATACACTTCCAGATATTTGGATATTTTTAAAAAAATTTAAAAATCACAAGATGAAACAATCCCAGACTGGGGCACTTTTCTCCCCGGTTCTGACAAGTTCCCTGGCCTGCACCAGTCACTGTACGCCTGGCCCCTGTACGTATGGGAATGTGAAATAGCAGAGAAATTCTAATGGCATAGCATCGAAGTAACATCTCCCAGGCCGCACCTTATACTCCCCATTTGTGTCATTCCGCAAACATTTCCTGAGTCCCTACTGTTTAGTGGTCCAGACACAGGTGACAATCAAGAAAATAAGTTCCAACCTCACATTGCTGTGCTCTTTTGTGACTGCTTAGTCTACTGATAACCCCATTTCTCACTGTAAAAAAAATTAATTTCCACAGCTGAAAGTCTTTTTATTTTTAAATGTTTTAATTTTTATTGATTTTAGAGAAAAAAGGGAGAGGGAGAGAGAGAAAAACATTGATGTGATTGATTGCCTACTGGGAATTGAGCTGCAACCTGGGCATGTACCCTAATTGGGAATTGAACTGGTGACCTCTCAGTGCATGGGACTCTGCTCAACCAGCTGAGCCACACCGGCCAGGGCTCTATTTCTCACTTTTATGGACTGGTCCTCCCAAATCCCCATTCTCAGACTCTCAGCCCCACCCCACCCATGGGTGGGCCCAGGCCTAGCCCATGTGAGGCTACCGTTTTTGGCTCAGGGATGCAAGTGAGACTTGGGCCTAGCCAATCAGGATCAACGAGCTGCTTCTGGACCTTGAGAACAAGACTTCTCTTTTTGTAGAGTTGGCTGGGCTGGTGGAATGTTGTCTGAAGCTGCTGTTACCCCTTTGTTAGAGTCTTTCTGAGAATGAAGCCATTCCAAAGTATAGCAGAGCCAAGACAGGGAGCAAAGCACAGAAGCAAATACCCAGCACCTGGATCCATCTGTGCCTGAGTGTGGTCCTGCTGGGTTTCTGGGCACAGGAGGCAAAGCAGCTCCTTTTTGGCCCCAGCCAGTTTGAATCGGGCTTCTGTGCCTTGTGACTGGAGGAGCCCTGGCGAATGTGAATGAAGGGGGGGTTACACCAGGCAGATGGGAGGGCTGAGGGCATGGAGAAGGAGACCCAGCTCTGCCACAGGCAGGGTCCTTCCAAGATGGACACTCTGGGCAGGCTTGAAGGGGGAGCCAGTGTTAGTGAAATGAAGGGGGCAGAGTAGGAGGACATTCTGGGCAGGGAGACCCACGAGCAAAGACTGCTAGACCAGTGTTGATTTCAGTGAGACAAGACTCTCGGCATCTTGGTTCAAATAGGGAATCTAACAACGTCTTAGTTTTAATCTTTTCCTCCTTTCAAGTGGCCACGAGCTTCTTATGGTTTGACCCAGAAATTCTAGAAAATAACAGATGCTACATTTAATATTATTTGCAGGGTGAGAAATGATCACATATGACCTCCCGTCATGGGCCTTGCAGCCTAAAAGGGGACTTTGGTCCCATCTCACAGGACAGGGCAGCCAGGTCCAACGGCTCCTTTGTACAAATCACGCTTCTAAGGACACTTTTTTACAGACAGGAAGTAGGACAGGAGTTTACACTTTCACGTCAGCCTCCACCCCAAAGAGTAGGACGATACACTTTTTTGGTGAGCATTCCCATTTCTCCCCTTATTGGAACCAACTCTGTGATTCTGAAGAGCATCTGTGCTCTTGGAGCTGTCAGGCAATGGGAACATTTTCTTTCTTTTCTTGCCGAGATTTCTTTCACCAGGAAAGGCTTAGAGTCTTCAAAGCTTAATGCTGAAATTTTATTATTTGGCAAGAAGAGGAGGGGGAAAAAGGCAGACTCAACAAGCTTGAGCAGTAGACTCTGGAAAGGCCCAGAGCACAGAGGGTTAGCAGGTAAGAGACTCGGGCATCTGTCACTGCATCCGCGGTGGGAGACCGCAGGCTCCGAGTGTGCTTTGAGGAGCAGCTGTTGTTGGGACACATCCC